AAAACTTCCCAATTTTGAGGAAATACATGAATTTACACATCCAGAAGCCCAATGAACTCCAAAGAATATGAATTCAAAGAGATCCATACTAAGACTTGACCAAACTATCAAAGACAAAGAAAAAATCTTAAAAACAGAGAGAGAAGTGGATAAATAAGATTAAAAGCTGACTATCAGTAACCACGGAGGCCAGAAAGCAGTGAGATGATATTTAAAATGCTAAAAGAAATGTAAACCAACAATTCTATATCCAGCAAAACTATTCTTTAAGAATAAAGGAGAAATTGAGACATTCCCAGATAAACAAAGCTAAAGGAGTTTGTTAATAGTAGACTTGTCTTGCAAGACATGCTTAAAAGGAGTTCTTGAGACTGAAATGAAAGGACACTAGATAGTAAACTGAAGACATAACAAAAGATAAAGAACACTGGTAAAGGTAACTGTATAGGTAAATATAAAAGCCAGTATTACCACACTTTTGGTTTGCAACTCCTGTTTTATTCCTGTAGGAATTAAAAGGCAAATGAATAAAATAATTATAAATCTATATTAATGGGCAATGTATAAAGATGTAATTACTGACAATAACAATATAATGGGGGAGGATGGAAAGGGACTTTTCAAAGGAAGGGACTGTTTGTATGCCACTGAAACTAAGTTTGTAGTAATTAAACTAGGTTGTTATAAGTTTAGTATGTTAATTGTAATCCCCAAAGTAGTCACTAAGAAAATAACTAAAACACATACACAAAAGAAAATAAGAAAATCAAAATGGTACACTACCAAAAATAAAAAACATACAAATGAGTACTTGACATGGACTGAATTGTGTCCTCCCCAAATTCATACGTTGAAGCCCTAAGCCCCAGAATTTAAGAATGCACTGTATTTAGAGAAAGGGCCTTTAAAGTGATAAAAAAGTTAACATGTGGTCCTTATGATGGATCCTAATCCAATTTGACCATTGTCCTTATAAAGTTAGATACAAACAAATAGACACCAGGGGTATGCACAGAACTACAATTATGTGAAGAGGTAGCAACAGGAGAGAGGAGTCAGAAGAAATTAAAGCTGCTGACATCTCAGTCTTGGACTTCTCACCTGCAGAACTATTAGAAAATAAATATCTCTTGGATAACCACTCAGTCTGTGGTACTGTTATGGCAGCCTGAGGAAACCAATACAGTACCTATTTGAAAGAACATATTATTCTGCATTATTTACTTTTCCGTAACATGAGTGCTATTTAAATGAAACAACAGGAACAATTAACAGTGGCAATCAGTAAAAATTAAAAGTAGGACTAATCAAAAAATATGTGTGAGAAAATATAATAATCATTATTATGTTTCTTTTGATAAAATAAATTCAGCAACTTATTTTATCTTTTTTTAACTCTATTGGAATTTAAATTTTATAGGCCACATTTTATATTCTTAATATATATAAATGTAACTAAGATTAAAAAAAATTTTTTTTAACGTTTATTTACTTTTGAGACAGAGAGAGACAGAGCATGAACAGAGGAGGGTCAGAGAGAGAGACGGAGACACCGAATCTGAAACAGGCTCCCGGCTCTGAGCTGTCAGCACAGAGCCCAACACGGGGCTCAAACTCATGGACTGCGAGATCATGACCTGAGCCGAAGTCGGACGCTTAACCGACTGAGGCCACCTAGGTGCCCCCTAAGATTTTTTAAAATAAGAGAAAAAAAAGTGGGATTAAACAAATATTACCAGTATTTAGAAAAAATAACAATGACATGTTTCTTTTCGTCCCATGAAATAAAATAGTTTCATGCTTTGTGTCTCCTTTCCAATAATAACACTTCCCTGTACCGAGTAGAACCCTTCTTTTTAGTGTGGTAAAATTGAGTATCGTTAAACGTAAATTTCATTTTGACCACTCTGCTTGTATCAAGTCCATATTCTTGGTGTCAGTCCTGTGATGATATCAAGCTAAATACCCTCTCAATAAGCACAGAATACTTAGGATTGTAATTACTAGTAATGGCAGGTACTTAGATATGTAAGAAATTGTTTCAAACTCCACAAAACATCCATCTATTTTGAATCTAAATGCTTGTTTTGGTATTCCAACTGTTAATCAATCATGTCTTTTGCATTGATAGATTAATTATCTTTGCTTTCCATGTGTAAAATAAATATCATTTCAGAAGCACACTAGTAATTTCAATTTATGCTATCAAAGTTGCATTCCAAATGAGTTACAGTTTTAGTAAAGACATTGAGAGGATCTTATTTAACTTGGCTGTCCTTTTGTGGTGACTTTTTTTCTCCACCTTGAGTTAGGAAGCAGTCATGTTACACAAAAAATGAGACATTTGTTTGTTGTATAAGTTTTTTCTAGTCTCCTTATGGCTTCTTCAAATATCATCAAACATTTTTGGAGAAATGGCATAAAAATTTCTGTTTTAGTATAATCTTTTTCTCCGTTCTCATCCTCAATGTATTGCCAAATTAGACAAGGACATTCTTCCTGTCTCACACTTTAAAAATATTTTACTGCAGGATATCTTTTCTAAGTCCAACAACAATTATAGCCATTCTTTAGGCACATGTCCAAGGAGGCTATCTCCTTCCATTTCTTTAAAGTCAAAAATCACATTAAGTGTACCTGTACATATTGAGAACTTGAAAAGTGCCCTAAAATGTTCACTATGAAAGCTTCAATATCAGAAGTAAGCAAATCACATCACATTTTAGCAGTGCTATATACAAAGGGCGCAAAACACTTTGCAGATAAGATCTTTTATTTTATTTTTTTAAAAAATTACACTGAATGAAATTGTCCAAAATTTAAATTTGCACTGTCTGTCAAATACACAGATGAGTAAAGTCTAGAATTATATTTGGACATCTCAACAATCTTGTTTTATGTTGCCTGTGGTTTCACTAAAATCTTTAAGAATATGATTTAACGGACTTAACAAATCAAAGTATCTAAGAACTAAATGGAACATTTTCTTGTTGATATGATTTGCCATATCAATGGATATGTCAAAGTGTGGTTGTTGGTTAGATCCATCAAAATGAGCTCTACATTGATTGTGAAATGTTAAACTTTATTCCCTGTATGACTTTTAGTTCTTCTTTCATAGAAGTTTTGATCTTTGCAAATTAATGCTCCCTTTCATTATATTTCCCTTTGACATGTTTTTCCACAGCTACCATGTAAAGTATTATTAAACCACAGAACAAGGAGAAATTCACCTAACCTTGGTATTGTGTGGGGAAGTTACCTTGAAGCACTATGTACCTCCACGTACATAAATACGCCAGCTATTCCAGAGGGCAAAGAACAAAAAGGGCCTACCAACTAAATCATGATGTTTACATTACAGATTTATTCATTTAAAACAAACAGCAGGAAGCAAGGGGAAAAGCTGGGGTTAAGTTAACACTCACGGTATAACACCTTAGGATGCAATCAAGTTATAAAGGACCTCAACTAGCTGAATGTTCACCTATTTCCCAAACTACTTGATTATTTACTATCTATACTTAAAAAAAATCCCATGACTTTTGTCTCAATCTTATAAGCTACCAGTTTATTATCTATGAATCCTATCCACCCTGTTTTTCTTATTTCAATGGAAGAACTGAATATTTCAAAATATGTATTATATAAAACACATAGATACAGAAAATATATATTTCACATGGTATATACCATCAAAAAATATGTAGAATTAAGTGTCTGTGAATAGATGATCCCTGAATTCTTACCATATCATATATTTTATCCTATTTTAGATCTCCAGTTCACAGAATCTGGCAGACATTGTGAGCATAGGTCTATGGGGCTTATAGTTGTTGCCCAGTACGTGCTTCTTTAATAACGTAGAGTGATAGAAAAAATGGAAATCAATAATCAAGTTGCTTTGTGGGTGAAGGAGAACTCAAATGGAAAGAAAAATCCCGAACCAACCAAACACATTAATACAAAACAAAACCCAGTACTTTCCCTGGTGGGTATCCCTGTCAACTCCTTTCTAGTGTATTTGCCTATACTTTTTAGACCACTCTAAACTAAACCTCAATGTCCTCATTCAACAAGACCATATCAGAATTAGATATAACTAAGACCATATCGGGATCAGCCACTCTAAGGTTCTAACTATATTTTCAGATTTTTCTTAAAATTTAGACAAGAGAACTTAAGTTACCTAGCACAATGACTAGCACATATACCAGGAGCTCAATAAATATGTGCTTTATGTACAAATGAATCAGTTCCTCCTATTACTGACTTTCAAGGAAAATCTGAGAAATTGTCCTTCTAAAGGCAAGTACTTCTAAAGTACTGTTTTTGAAAACTGTGGTTATCCTAGACACAAATTATAATTTGGTAATTATGTATTTGGATTATCAGTCAGATGGAAAGGAAAAGTACTCTCAAAATATTAGGGGAACTGAAAAGCAAACAAAATCTTCAACTGAGGGCTAGATTGAAATTAGTATTTTTAAGTAGAGGAGAGCCACAATTCCTGTCCATAAATGGGTAAATTTAAGTTTTGTTAAGATAAAGAAAATTCAGAAAAGCCATAAAGTTTAATTATATTTAAAAAACTAAGAACTTTGGCACAGTAAAATACACCACAAGCAGATTTTAAGTATGAATAATAATTACTTTCAACAGATAATTTCCATAAAATATAAAGTATTTCCATAAGTCATTAACACATTAAAAATTATAAAATAAACAGTGAATGAATTCAATAAGTAATTAAGAAGAAATATAAGTGAACAATAAACATATTAAAGCATGTTTAAGCTTACCAATAATCAAAGGAATACCAATTAAAGTAAGATAATTTTTGCTGATTAGATGGACAATGATTGCTAAAATCCCAATTCAAAACCAACAAAACTATTCTGTAGCAATAAAATATAGATTGGAACAATTATGTACAATGACCATAAATCTAGAATCATTTCGAATCTATTTCTTTGTAACTTTTAAAATAATTAACCAACCTGTGCCACTTTAATAGAATTCTGGGTAGAACCACCAGCATGATATTCAACTTTGAATTTTTTTACAAGTTCATCAAACCTACAAGAAAATCACAGTAGAAAAAAGTAAGTTAGCATCTGTCAGTTGTCACAATGCAAATTTTTCTGATTAGAAGCACACTGAATCACCATTAGTAAAATATTTTCAATTATATAATTATGTTGAATAAATGAATTAAAATATATATGAAAAACAAGCATGCTGAATTTGTACTTATGAAAATTTTTCTACAAATGTACAATTATAAGAATTTAAAATATATAAACTGTCCATAATTAACCACTATACTAAAAAAGGTAAATATACAAATTCATAAATTATTACTTATAAGCAATGCATATTTTCCCATATTAAATGTTGATCTCTAGAATTTACAAATGTAAATTCTAGTAAGTTTAAAAAGTTTTAGATATCATAAAGACAATTAGTTTAAAATGTAAAGAATTGGGAAACCACACATTGGGGTATGATTCTAGGCAAGCTGCTTGGTGACATAATTTCTGTATCTGCCATATAAAGACACAGACAGTAGTGATCTAAAGCTTTATCTAAATATCTAAATATCTAAAGCCATAAAATAATATTTTGGCATCTGATAAAAGCTATAGAACTTCTCTCCAGGAAACTACATACATCCACTACACATGAAACTTTCACGTACCCAGGCAAAAAACTACGGACACTGATTTTAATAAATCTCAAATTAGATGGCCTTTATTAACCTGGATTTCAAATCAATATTCCTTACTGCATGTCTTTAGCACGTTAGAGATATCCAAGGGGCGTAAGTATGTACCTTAATTTCAAAGGACGAAGAAGCTTTGGAGGGAGACAAGGATGAATACACATGAGAAAATACAGAAAATTAGAAACCATCAAATTATCAAACAACAGAATATATGCAATGTAGACAGCAAGTGCTAGAGGAGGTTGGTCAAAAAAGGGAGATTGGGATATGAATAGAATATTCAAGGAAGGTTTCAGTATTGACAAGTATTTTCAAAACTTTAAAAACAAAGTACAGAAGTAGATCCTTTCACTAAAATGAAACATTTCACAGAACCTCAAAATACCAAAAAGACAAATACAGATATGGTTATATTAGGAATAGGAAAAATGGAGTTATACCCACTCCCATACATCCAACTACCTTGGGATTCCATCTGTAAAACACTGAGATGACAATAAACACAACTAGCAAACCTGCCCAGAATTTTGACAGCAGAATTCGTATGCCACTAATAATACCAATGTAATAATAACAGTAGAAAAGGCAAAATATATAGGCACAGATGCAGAGGTAGGTAGCTGCAGTAGCTCAAGGGAAGTTCCCTTCTACTTAGGTACTTTTTTTTTTTAATGTTTATTTTTTTAGAGAGAGAGAAAGAGACAGAGCACAAGCAGAGGATAGCAGAGAAAGAGGGACACACAGAATCTGAAGCAGGCTGCAGGCTCCACACTGTCTGCACAGAGGCTGATACAGGGCCCGAATCCACAAACCATGAGATCGTGACCTGAGCTGAAGTCGATGCTGAACCAACTGACCACCCAAGTGTCCCTCTTCTACTTACTTTCTGAACTAGACAGATACCAGCTAAGCGTGATGTTAGAGATTGGAGAAGAAAGGGAGAGTGAATGGATAAAGTAAATATACAATGATCAAATGCTAGGCTCATTTGAGGTCCCTCCACTGTCAAAAGTCAATTCCTCCAAAGGTTTTGGATCATATTTGTAGTGGGTTGAATTGTGGCCTCCATAAAGATATGTTCCCCCATAACCAGTGAATGTAACCTTATTTAGAAAAGAAGGCTTTGGAGATACAAGTAAGTTAAGGAGCTTGAGATAAGATCTTCCCTCCTACATTACCCAGGAGGGGCCTAAGTTCAGTAAGAAGTCTTCTCATAATGGACAGAAGAAAAGACACAAAGGAGAAGACCATGTGAAGATGGAGGCAAAGACTAGAGTGATAAGGAGCCAAGGAACGCCAACACCCACCAAAAGCTGGAAGAGGCAAGGAAGGCTACAGACATTCAAATTTAAACTAATAAAGTTAGGGGCGCCTGGGTGGCGCAGTCGGTTAAGCGTCC